GATTGATAAAATCTCTGTCATACATCAAGAGTTATTGGTTCATAGAAATTTATATTTCACCAATAATTCTGTAGATCATGTTTTATCAATCTATGTTTGGTTCATAGTTCAAAAGACACCAATCTAATTACATTTCAACCAAATCTAGCAAAGTATTTTTAAAATTCTTCCTTTATCCAAAGAATTTTTTTGAAATAGGAAGGAGATTGTTGTAAAATATATAGTATTTCAAAAATATTCTTTATCCCACATCGAAAAATGAGAAGTATTGCTTTCTCTGTCCCATATTGAGAAATGAGAAGAGTTGCAATCTTTGTCCCACATCGGAAGTGAGAAGGGGTGCACCTCATTCTGAAATCTATAAACAGGATCCATTCCCCCCTCAGAAAATCACCCCAGCAGCTTCAGTTGATATCTTTCTAATAGCTGCTCTATCTCTCTCTCTCTCTCTCTTTTATTTCTGTCAGTTGATACCTTCCTGACAATTCTGTTCTCATCTTCTCTCTCTATATCTATTGGTTTTAATTTGCTAGTTCTGGTCCTTCTAGTTTGCAACAAGAAGAAAGCTTGCCTTTCTTGTTCGCAACAAATAGAAGAAGGCTTGTTTAATTCTGGGGAGACATTTCAATTTCATAAAATAGTTTCTTAGAACAGTGCTACACACGACTCAAACAGATAGTGTTAACATTGTTGTGGCTGTTTCAACAACAAATACAAGATACAACAAGTGTAAATCACATTCAATTTATATTACTTGACCATAAGTTTCATCTACTCCCTAGATATAGAAAATTAGCTACTGATGAATGATGTAATAAACTCATAACTTCATTAATGGAAAACATCTCAAGTTACAAGTACAAGAAGTATAAAGAAAAGCTTGGCCAAGTTGATGGTGAAGCTCTCAAAATTCTACTATGTCTTGCACTAGATGATTCCAAGATGAAGTCTCCAAGTGCTCCTTGTAAAATTTGCTAGCTAGAGAGAATGTGTTCTACCAGAAAATTGCTCTCCCGTAGATGTCTGACCTCCCCTTGTTTTTTTCTCCATAAAAACTGCTCAAAAGCTCCTTTTCACTAGTCAAAATTTCCATCTCTAGATTCCCAAATCTAAAATTTGTTAAAATAGCCAATCACAAATGTTTTTGACTTGACAATAAGTCATCTTTTCTACCCTTTATATTTTGAAGCATGTGCAACCGAATTCCCTTGCTCAATACAGCTGGAAAGTAGTATGAACACAAGAGAAATGGCTGATCAAATTGCAGAATTTCGGCTACAAAACGCGACTTGACAAACGCGACTTCAAGCCACGTTTTGATGACTCGCGTTTTCAACTCTGTGCTTTTGGCCTCGTTTCAACTACGATGTTCTCTATGATAGAGGCCGAACTAGCTTTTGTGCAAAACACAAAAGTTGTAGCTCTTTGAATTAGCTTCAAGATGCTTCAAGAATCATCCAAATCGGAGCTTTGTAGACTGTGATATGATCAAAATACTATCACCTAGTCAAACCCCCGTTTCAGTCTCGTTCATAGAATGCAACTTCTGTTTTTCGACTTTTTGCCCATGAAAACAATAGAATTGGATTTCGATATCTTCATACCAAATCTAGATCTCTCTCTTACTTCAAAATGGTATAATGATCACCTCAATCCAATATGTCTAGGTCCAGATATGGCCGAAATACTAAAGAGTGTCAAAACTGTCTTGAACTGCATTTCTTCAATTAAACATTTTTCACTTCATTTCTTCTTTATACACTTCAATTCTTCACTAATATTCAGATTTCTTCTCAATTCATACTCTTTGATGATTGAATCATTGATCCTGCAAGAAAATGAAGTTTTTACCCTTAAAATTAATAGAAATACAATGTTAGCTGCTTTAATAAAAAAATGTCTATTTTTACCAAAACCCTAATTATTTTAGTTCTAAACTAGATTAAACTACTAAAATTAACTGATAAAATACACTTAAAAAACACATAAAATATACTCTTATCAAAGGCTATTGTTGGCGAATTTGGGATGACATAGCAGCCACTCCAGAGTAATAGATTGATAATTAACTACTTTGTATTTTCCACATCAATCAATTTAAGGGGTAAAAGAATAATATTTAAATTAGGTGTTGAATAGAAAAGGCGAGTGTTATTACCAAATCTTGTATTTTAATGCCATAACAATTTTCTTTAGAAAATGACAAACATCCCTCGATTGGTCACATATTAGACCGACATCAAAAAAGTTTGAAAAAGTTTATCATAATCACACCATTCTCAATTCCTTATCCGGTAATGCATGTGATATTTGTAGACAAATTTCTCTTTAATTCTCTGAACCATACCGTGTGTGTATATATATAAATAAGTTTGGCATGTGTAAATATTGTTGTATGATGTACAAAATAAGAACCGTTTCGATTAACAAATACCTGAAATTTATTAACCAAAGGTTTGAATATTTCCTACTTCCAATCAAAGTAATAATATAATATTACAGACAATCACACCTTAGCTATCAGAAGTTAACAAATAGATACACACATACAAAAATACATATACATGTGTATGCATGTGTGTCATTCTAGCCCTGGAATGTGATAAAAGAATTTTTTTTAAATCTTTTTCCAAAATATCAAAATGAAACAATTGATTCAACATATGGATAGTTATCACTGTTTGTGCTTTCAAATATTGTTGTAGCATTATGGGTAAATATATGTACATACTTACATACATACATACACATACATATACATAAAAATAGGATGGGAAAATATGTTTGAAATTTTCTAAAACTACATTTATAAAAATGTTCCCATGCAAATCTTAAAAAACAAGAAGAGGATATTGTTACAAATGAGGAAAAGGTGTCTGAATTAAAACCTTCATTGGTCTAGGAAATGTCTTCCTAAAAAGTTGCGATTCTTCATTTTTTTCAGATCAATTTCTTCTTGACTTTTGGTTGGGAAGTCTTGGCTTTTGGTCCGAAAACTCTCTACCAACGGTTTCAAACTACCTCTTGCTATTTTGGTCTATAAATATATGTTAGTAGGAGAGAAAGTTCATCATTATTATTCCTTTTTTGAGGAAAAAAGTTTTCTTCAAAATTTCCGTAGAACCATCTTGAAAGAAAAGTGAAAACAGAAAGTTCATGGACTTCCTAAATTCTTATCCAAATTTGAGGGAGAATTCACGGTTAAATCCTGGAAACAGATTACTCACGCACTTCTGCACAAAGAGAAGGAGCAAAAATTTTGTTTTAGGACATTCATCAAAGATCAAGCCTCTGTGATTTGTAAGTTAGTAATTTATTAGTATTAACATTATTCTAACTTATCGTATCAGCGATTTGAACTTGTTTAGTAATAAGATTTGTTACTAATAGTTTTTTCATTTCCTATTTCTTAGACTTCTTGTTAGTCTCCAACAGATATTTCATTCAAATTTTTTGAGGAAGGTTTTTCATGCTTGCCTAGAGAGCAATTTGAATCGTTTTATTGTAGTACTTATTGTCTTACAGAAAAAATGAATTATGTTGGAGAAGTGTTTTATGTTTTTACATTTCTTTTTGGTTCAGTTGCATTGGAGATTGGAGAATGATAACTTATGCTACTATATTGTTTTTACATGATCTTTTTTTTTGTTGGATGAGATTTTCTTGAGCAAATTCTATTTAATCAATCCTTAGATGAACATGTAGAACATGATACAAAATTTGTCAATATGATTCTTAATTTAATTTTTTTTCTTTTGAAAAATTAAACTATAATGGGTGTCTCACCCTATGGTCCAACCTTCTCTTGCTAGTCACTCGGTGTCTAGGTACTCGCTGACATAAGAAGTGAGTAAAGGAGAAAAAATTGTTCATCCAATAAATGTGGCGCGAGTCAATCAAGTACCAGTGTGGGGAAAGTATCTGCCCTGTGCCCACCCAAACTATTTAGTTTAGTCGCCTCTTACCCAAACATAAAAGTTGTAGATAATCACAATATATAACTCAATTTTTTTTCATTATTTCAAAAGATTGGAGGCAATTAAGGGAAAAAAAAGTGGAGCTATTAAAACGACAAAAAGTCATTAATTTACTCATTTATGAGATTAACAAAACCTTGACAAGACAAAGGAGTTTATCTTGCTCCATGCCCACCCAAACTATTTGGTTCAGTCATCTCTTACCAAAACATAAAAGTTGTAGAAAATCACGATAACTCAATTTATTTACTTTTTCATTATTTCAAAAAAAAAAATGGAGGCAATTAAGGAAAAAAATGTGGAGGTAATTAAACGACAGAAAGTCATTAATTTACTCATTTATGAGAATAACATAACCGTGACTAGACAAAGGAGTTTACATTTTTCCTTATGAATTATGTCATGGATCTACAAAACAAAAGCCTTTGTATACTGTTTTTTCATATTGTACATAAAATAATCAAGAAGAAAAATGGTGTAAAGGATGTGAGAAATTATCATACTTGAATATAAGGGGAAAAAAGTTGTTATGCTTTCTATATATTCTTCCTATTTCTATGGGATGGAAAATTAAATTTTTCATAAAATTTCATACTTCAATCAAGTACCAGTGTTTCATGATCAGTGAGCAAAGGCAAAACAAAAAAAAACTTTACTACAGAAAAATAACGATTTTATTTTTGGTCTCGATATAAAAAACATTATAACCTTATAGCTGAAAGCACAGGACATAACAAAACTAATAGCAAGAGAAAACTTTGAACTAAAGTTTTGCCCTGACACATGATTAGGGCGCCTTATTAGGAGAGATCCATGTAGCAGAGACTTAGAATTACTTTGACATAATTAAAAAAAAGATACATGAGAATAACTCAAGTGTCGAGACCACAATCTTATATGTATTGAAAAACGTGCAAACATAGCTAGGTAATTAGGGGAAATCCATTAGGGTTTTATTTTGGAAGGACCCTTTATATTTTTCAAAAGTACATTCTCAAACAAGAACTGAGATATGTCTGCTGCCTAGATCCGACGCTTAACTTCATCCTCAACCTTCTTTTTAAGTCCTTTCAGTGCTTTCTTCAACTTCAGAAGTTGCTCCAGATTCATCTCTTCAATTGGTTCCTGCCACCAGTTCTTGTGTTGGCCTTCTTGTATCATCTGAACAAGAACTTCTTCACGTTTTTTTGTTGGCTTTCAATTGTTTTTTAAGGTCGATAATTTTATTGAGCTCAGAAATGTTGTCACCATGGTGATTGGCAACAACATGGTGATAAGTGCCACCGTGGATGCTAGTTGATGACTTGTTTCCAAGGAACTTATCAGTGACAAATTCGAAAGATGAATGACCAAAAGCGTAAGCCTTTTTTCCAGGCGAAAACACCAACAGAGCAAGTTCTGCACCATTAAGAGTGCAAAGTTGGTTGGCTTTCATGAAAAGGTCATTGCAACGCTTTGAGAAGATAGCATGGAGGTTGTTCTTTTTCTCCATTTCAACTATAGGAACCTTTTGGTGACCTCTAGTTAATTTTTTGGCCGTGACTTGATCTGATCAATTCAAAATGTCAATATTTGAGAAGAAGGAGGGGGTATTTATAGAGTTTTTTTCATGCCACTGATGCCGTTTTTCCTATTGTGACCTTGTCTTTTATGGAAAAAAATTAATTCACATTCGAGTCATATTAATCTGCAATCTAATGCATTTATGATAGGATAGCAAATTTAAAACTTACCAAATCAAGCCTCTGCACAATTGTTCAATTAGCTTCCACGTGCCAAAGGTTTGCATTAAATTTTTGTCCTAATCTAGTTTCTGAATTGTTTCACAATCAGCAGTATCTATGTACGTATAGAAATTCAATTAAATATTTTTCCCACTTTGAACTGCTTAATTTTGAAAATATTAATTCTTACTTGTCATTATAGATCTACCTTTTATATTTGTTGATGATCCACTTTATCACGAAGTCAAAAAGTCGACAATTTATATTTATGAATGCCGCTCGTAATAAGTTACAAGATTAATGATAGTTATACTTAACATTGTTGAATTCATGTACAGATAAAGCATAGTTGTACAAATTGTTAAACTCGTGCTTATACAATGAAAGTTTTCAGATATAACTTTTAAATAATGGTATTCATCCATCGTAAAAGTTTGAAAAAGTAAGTCTCCCGTAAAATTTGGTTTCTCAGAATCACACCATTCTCGAATCCTAGTCTGGTACTTCATATGGTTTCTATACTTTTTTTTTAAGTTTCTGTACTTTAATCCTCTGAACCATACAGTAGATATATAATTTTGCATTGATACTGAAGTAATGACAGTGGAACTCATTACCTCTTTTCCTCTTTTGCTTGCTCCTCTAGCTCATCAATGCTGGAAGTCGGAGAATAAGCTAGAAGGTAAGCAGCTTAAGCAAGACCTTTTGTAGTATAGGAAGTTTCTCTTATCCAGTACCAGTAAAGGAAGTAAGTTCGCTAGTTGTCCAAGGGGCAAAGAAAGTATAGGTTTATTTATTGCTTCAACTCTATTAGAGTAAGCTCGCTTTTCAGGTAGCAATGTAGTCGGCTTATCGCCTGTTTAAACTCACTCTGTAGGTCAGTTTATTGCTTCTTTGGGCTGGTCCTTTATATTCGTTACAGGCATTCCTATCGTTGGTATTACACAAGTTCTATCTAAGGGTGTAGCTGAGGATTTGACCTCTGCTTCCCTGCAGTCGTAGGCCCTTTCGATCGATTTAAAAAAATATTGTTGTTTGATGTGCAAAATCCCATTTGGAACCTGAATTTTTTGGAAATTTGTCTAAAACTTTACTGTAGTACACTGTAGAAGTTTTTGGAAAAATTTTTTAAGATGAAAAACTTTTTTTTCCTTTTCTTTTTTTCTTTCTTTTTCTCTTTCTTTTTCTTTTTCTTTCTTTCCTTTTTCTTTTCTTTCCTCTCTTCTTCTTCTTTTTCTTCCTTCCCCCTCCCCCTTCCCTCCTCCGTCACCTCTGCTCCGACATTGAAGAACGCAAATGGTCCAAAATTGCGGCTAAGTTTTCTTTTTTCTCTTTCTTTTTCTTTTTCTTTCTTTCCTTTTTCTTTTCTTTCCTCTCTTCTTCTTCCTTCCCTCTTCCCCTTCCCTCCCCCGCCTCCTCTGCCTCCAGCTTTGAAGAACCAACAGCCATGGTGAAACCAATTTTTTTTCTTTTTCTCTTCCCTTCTTCTCCCTCTCCCTCTCCCTCTCTGCTCCCTTCTCGCTCTCTACTCCTCTTCACCCTCCCCCTCTCCCTCCCGAAACCAGAGAACTGCCAACCATGATTTTTTTTCTTTTTTTCTTTTTTTTTTGCTTTTTCTCTCCCCCTCTTCTCCATCGCCCTCTCCCCCTTTCTCCCCTTTTCTCCCCTTTCCTACTCTCCTCCCCTTCCCCCTCCCCCGTTGCCCAATGTGCGATCTGGTCACACAACCAGATCGTAGATAGGGGAAGGAGAAGGGTGACCAGGAAGGGGAGGGAGAGGAGAGGGGGGGAGAGAAAAAAAAGAGGGAGAGAAAAATAGCCAAAAGAAGGGTGGTCGAGGAGGGAGAGGGGAAGGGAGAGAAAAATAGCCAAAAGAGGGGTTACAGATCGGTCAAAGGGAAAGGGAGAGGGGGAGAGAGAGAGAGAGAAAGGGAAAAAAAAAGGGAGACCAGCGCTAGAAGCAGCGGAGGATGTGGTGGCCGGCGCTGAAGGTGTGGTGGATAGGGTGGGGGAGAAAGAAGAAGAAAAGAGGAAGTTTTTTATGTATTAGATATTTTGAAATCTGTAGGTTAAAAAGTTTGATAAGTTTTTTTAGGTTCCTGTAGCTAAAGTTGTTAAAAAACTAATAGCTAAAATCTTGGCAAAAAACTTGGGTTCCAAACAGGACGACGTTTCGAGGGCCTAACTGTTAAAATTTATTACCCAAATGTAATTCCTACTTCCAATCAAAGTATTACATCTGCAATTAATGCCACATCAAGCATGTAAATTTTGATGGCTGTTTTTGTGGCTTTTAACTGTGAGTTTCAACTTCAAACTCAATAACAATTTGACATGAAACATTATTGTGAAATATGTAAAGTGTTACAGACAAGCCCATTCAAATTTTATTGAAGAAATAATGATTTTCACATGAAATTGACTATATAAAATTCTGTGATGAATAACAAGACTATAGGAGGAGAAATGAAGCACATAGCTTATATTGTCTTTAGGTGCAATTGTGAATATAACTAGATACATGTAAAGAAAAAGATGTTGATGAGTGAATATTTAACGTACATTTTATACAAATTTGGCATGAACTTTTGGTATGTTTTGAGAAGATTAAAGCAATAGTTGAACTCTTTTGGTGATAATTGCTTAAATATTGTTTAAGTGTTCAAAACTTGATAAATGAGTGGATTAATGCGTTAATTTTGTGAAATTGTAAAGGATATTCTTGTATGAAATTCATGCACGAGCTGAAAGAAATGTAAGGATCGTCCAGAGGATTAAGTACACAAGAAATTAGGAGCAAAAATGAAGAGAAAGGAAAAGAAGTGAAAAACTGAAAAATAATCAGCACGGATCCAAGCTCGGATCCGTGTGAGTAAAGAGCGATCCGAACCCTCGTCTATACTTTTGGAGCAGTGTATCCGAGGACAAACGATCCGAGCTCGGATCCATCAGAAAAAGGCCTCAGATCGATAGGATCCGAGCTCAGATCGATCTTCACCCCTCGGATCCGAGGCTCGGATCTGCCTCTCTCTTCAGCAAGTGGCACAACCGTTTTTTCTCACTTTTCACACAACTTTCCAACTATCTTAAGTGAGTGAATTTGGTGGCACATGCTTCTGCAACAAAAGGGAAGACAAAATGAGTTAAAGAAAGTCAAAATAATATTTCTTTTGACTTTCTTTACAAAATTTGAGTTGTTGGAATCATGAAAAAAGAAAAAATGTGTCTTTCTACCACCTTTTATGCAGAAACACAGGGGAGAAGCAAGAAGAACCATACGTAGCTAGTTTTCCTTCTTGTAACTAGTTTCTCTCTAGTTAAGAGTTCTTGGAGAAGCATTTGGAGTTTTCACTTGTAATCATCTTGTACAAGAACATAGTAGAAATTGGAGGGTTTCACCATCAATAGGCTAAGCTTTCTTTTATCTTTCTTGTACTTGTACTTTATGATGTTTTGCATTAATAAACTTGTGAGTCTGATTGTTAAATCATTCATGAGTAGCTAAACTTCTTAATTTAGGGAGTGGATGAAACTTATGGCTAAATAATACTAATAGAATGTGATTTACACTTGTTATATTTTGTATTAACTTGTCTACTTGTGTAACTGTGATTACTTGTTATTGATTGATCACCAATATCATGTTTATAGTTGTTATTGTTCAATGAGAATTGATAGTAACAATGGAAACACATGAGTAGAGCTTAAGTTGTATGTTCATGAAAATCGAGATACATTTTAGTGGATTACTTAGCATTTCATGAAAGAAAACAGAGTAAAACTAGTATTTCATCATGAAAATAGAGAAAACTGAACTACTTTAGGTCATTTCATCATGAGAATGAGACTTGGTAATTTTGGAAATGAATCTCTGGTTAAACAAGAATAATAACAAGAGGTAAATCCATTCATTTGTGTTGTTTATGCCATAAGTGGAATCTACATCCCTAGAGTCTTCCTTCAGTGAAATTTCTCCATTTGAATTTAGCATTTGTTAAATTAGATTTGTATATCAGATTTGTAGACTTTAGCAATATACTTTCTCTACTCAAATTTATTCATAAGTCTAAATAATAGAGAAAAATAAGGGCCTAGTACTTGTTTAATTTGTTCCTTGTGGGATCGACCCGATACATACCCTACATTACGATTTCGGCCTGTATACTTGCAGTCAACGGGTATAAAATCGGATTTAAACTTGCATTGATATAAAAATTTCGTCAAATTTTTGGCGCCGTTGCTGGGGAGAGGTAATATTAGGGCCAATCATCTCTATTAATTTAAATATTTCTATTATTTTTATTTAAGTTGTTTATAGTTGATTTTAATAATTAAAACTGCAAAATTTCTCTTCTTTTTATTTGTAGTGTATGCACCGATCAAATCGAGAAATTGTACTTTTTGATCCTGAAATTGAGAGGACATTACGGAGACAAAGGAGAAATACACCACATCAAGAGGAACAAGAGGTTTGGCAGCCGATAGAGGAAATCTTGATAGAATTATCATTTGAGAAAGAAATGGCGGAAAATGACCCAAATAAGCGAATTCTGCAAGATTTTGCTTTACCGGGAACACAAGATTCTCAAACTAGCATTGTAAGGCCAACGGTAAATGTCAATAATTTTGAGATTAAACCATCACTGATTCAAATGGTACAACAATCTCAATATGGAGGTAATACTACCGAAGATCCAAATTCTCACTTGTCAACATTTCTTGAAATCTGTGATACAATTAAATTTAATGGTGTTAGTGATGATGCAATTAAATTTCGATTGTTTCCATTTTCACTAAGGGACAAGGCTAAGGTTTGGCTACAATCCCATCCTCCTAACACTTTTACAACTTGGACTGAATTAGTTAAGCCTTTTCTTAATAAATTTTTTTTACCTGAAAAAACTGCTAAACTCAGAATGGATATAACTAGTTTCTCTCAATAGGAAGGAGAGACATTTTACGAAACTTGAGAGCGCTATCGGGAATTGCAACGAAGATGTCCTCATCATGGTCTACTAGATTGGCTAGTAGTCCAAATATTTTACAATGGTCTCACCTATCCAACAAAGACTCATGTAGATGCGGCAGCGGAAGGAGCTTTGATGGGAAAGACAGCTGGGGAAGCTCAACAATTGATTGAAGAAATGGCTGCTAATAACTACCAATGGGCCAATGAACGAGATAATACAAGGAGAACCGCAGGTATGCTTGAAGTAGATACCTTGAATATGTTAAGTGCAAAGATGGATAATGTGGTTAAGATGCTTAATAGATAATTGGTTCTAGTTCTAATCAAGGAGTAGTTATTGCATGTTGTACTACTTGCGGCGGAGATCATGATGATTTTATGTGTTCTAGCAGCGAACAGATTCAATATCCTAACAATTACAACCGTCCACACCCCAAAACAATCCATACTCTAATACCTACAATTCAGGATGGCGTAATCACCCGAATTTTGGATGGAATGATCAAGGAAACCAACAAAAACCAGTTAATCCACCGAGTTTTCAACCGAAACAACCACTTCAGGAATCCAAACCAGCTTGAGAATTGGCAATTGAAAAGCTGGCAAATGTATCGAATGATAAAATTGAAAAGTTAGCCAGCACCACTACTCAACGGTTTGAAAGAATTGAAGGAAGGATGGACCAACTCACCAATATGTACAGGAATACGGTAAACAATCGCAATCAAGGGGACTTACCTAGTAAGACTGAGGTGAACCCAAGGGAGCATGTGAAGGCTATAACCCTCCGTAGTGGTAAGGAATTAGGTGAGCCGCCGGTAGTTGAAAGTGGAAGAGAGTTTGAAAGAAGAGAAAACAAGCAGTTTAGTGAGTTAGGAGAGGATGACAAGAAAATTAAAGGGAAAGGAAAAGTGGAAGAAAATGAATCACAAATGGGAGATACAACACCAATTCCTCTACCAGTGTCATTCCCTCAAAGATTGAAACTTTCGAGAAATAACAAAGAATTTGAGAAGTTTGTCAACATTTTCAAACAATTACATGTTAACATTCCTTTTGTTGATGCTATTTTACAGATTTCTTCATATGCAAAGTTTCTCAAGGAGATAATGACTAAAAAAAGGAAGTTAGTAGATAGTGAGACAATTACATTAACGGAAGAATGTAGTGTCATCATACAAAATAAATTGCCACCAAAGTTGAAACATCCAGGGAGTTTCACAGTTCCTTGCACTATTGATAATGTAGAATTCTTTAAAGCACTTTGTAACTTTGGTGCAAGTGTTTCATTGATCCCTTTAACTGTGGCTAGGCAATTGGGTTGAAAGAGTTAAAGCGTACTAATATCTCCTTGCAATTGGCTGACAGGTCTATTAGACATCCAATGGGCATATTGGAGAATGCGCTCATTAAAGTACAGAAATTCATTATTCCTATCGATTTTATTGTTTTAGATATGGAGGAAGATGTCAATGTACCTATTATACTTGGTAGACCATTTTTGGTCACTGCAGGTACAATAATAGATGTTAAACGAGATAAGTTCAAGTTCCAAATTGGTGAAGAGTAAGTGAAATTTGATTTGAGTAAAGTGGAGAAATATCCCTCTTTTACTGACCATGTTTATTCGGTTGACATATGTGATGAATTGGCATTAGAGATAAGTCAAGTTAATTTTGATGATGATTCTCTTGAATTTTGTCTTAATGGTATAGGTATACAAGAGGAACAAATTGAAGAAATGACTGAATTTTTGCAGGCACAGGTTCCTTACAAAAGGAGAAATGCATATAAGGAGTTAGAACTGAGCAAAGGGCTACCTCTACCATTATGTAAGCAAGCACCACAATTTGAGCTTAAACCACTGCCTAAACACCTCAAATATGCGTTTCTTGGAGAAAAAGAGACATTACCGGTAATTGTCAATGCAGCACTAGATAAGGAACAACTAGACAAGCTCTTACATGTTCTAAGGAAGCATTTAAAGGCTATAGGATGGACAATTTCTGATATCAAAGGAACTAGTCCAACTATTTGTATGCACAGGATTTTGTTGGAAGAAAACTCTAAACCAGTAGTTGAAACTCAAAGAAGGTTAAATCCAAACATGAAAGAAGTGGTAAGAGTAGAAATTCTTAAATGGCTGAATGTAGGTATAATTTTTTCAATTTTTGATAGTGTTTGGATTTTTCCTATACATGTAGTGCCAAAGAAAGGGGGGATAACCATAGTGCATGATAAAAATAATGAAATGATTCCCTCTAGAGTTGTGGTTGGGTGGCGAGTCTGTATTAATTATAGAAAACTGAATGCAGCTACTAGAAAGGATCATTTTCCTCTTCCTTTTCTTGATCAAATGGTAGAAAGATTGGTTGGTTATAAATTTTATTATTTTTTTGGATGGTTTTTCAGGATACAATCAAATAGTAATTGCACCAGAAGATCAAGAGAAAATCACATTCACTTGTCCGTACAGCACTTTTACATTTTGAAGGATGCCTTTTGGATTGTGCAATGCACCGGCTACCTTCCAACAATGCATGATGGCAATTTTCTCTGATTTTAATGAGAAAATTATGAAAATTTTCATGGATGATTTTTCTGTATTTGGATCTACTTATGATGATTGTCTTAACAATTTAGATTTAATTTTACAGAGATGTGAAGAAACAAGCCTTGTATTCAATTGGAAAAAATGTCACTTCATGGTTTGTCAGGGTATTGTTTTAGGCCACAAAATTTCTTCAGAAGGTATTGAGGTTGATCAAGCCAAAATAGAGGTTATTGAGAGAATGCCTCCACCTACCAATGTGAAAAGCATTCGCAGCTTTCTTGAATATGTGGAATTTTATCGGCGATTTATTAAGAATTTCTCCAAGATTGCTAAACTTTTATGTGAATTACTTGCAAAAGATGTTCCTTTTCACTTTAATGATGAGTGTTTACTTGCTTTTAATAGGTTGAAGAAGGAACTTGTCTCCGCACCTATAATAGCATCACCGAATTGGAGTTTACCGTTCGAATTAATGTGTGATGCAAGTGATTTTGCAGTTGGGACTGTTTTTGGGCAAAAACATGATAAGCGACTTCATGTCATTTATTATGCAAGTAAAATGTAAAATGAATCCCAAGTCAACTATGCAACAACAGAGAAGGAGTTGCTAGCAGTGAATTTTGCATTGGATAAGTTTAGATCGTACTTAGTAGGATCTAAAGTTATCATTTATACCAACCATGCTGCACTCAAATATCTATTAAATAAGAAAGATACAAAATCTCGATTAATTCGATGAATTTTATTATTTCAGGAATTTAATTTGAAAATCAAAGATAAAAAGGGATCCGAGAATTTAGTTGCTGATCATCTTTCTAGACTGGAGAACATGCCTCAAGAAGATCATTCAACCATTAAAGAAGAATTTTCAGATGAGTTTTTAATGGCAATTTATAAGTCACCATGGTATGCTGATCTAGTTAACTTTGTAGTTAGTGGAGTGATACAAAGTGATTTGAATTCTCATCAAAGGAAAAAATTCTTAAATGATGCTAAACATTACTTTTGGGAGGAATCATTCTTTTACAAACATTGTATAGATGAAATAATTAGAAAATGTGTTCCAGAAGAAGAGGTACATAGTATTTTAATGCATTATCATACCCTTGAAACGGGAGGTCATTTTAGTACAACTAAAATCGTAGCAAAGATATGACAATCTGGATTTTATTGATCTACTATGTACCGAGACACTAGAAATTGGGTTAAAAGTTGTGATCAATGCCAAAAAAATGGTAATATATCAAGAAAGAATGAAATGCCTCTAACTACATATTTGGAAGTTGAGTTATTTGATGTTTGGGGCATTGATTTTATGTGACTATTTCCTAGTTCACATAATAATAAGTACATCCTTTTAGCAGTTGATTATGTCTCTAAATGAGTGGAGGCCATTCCTTCACAAACTAATGATGCTAAAGTTGTGCTTAAATTCCTTAAACGGAACATATTTTGCAGGTTTGGAATTCCAAAGTCAATAATAAGCGACGAAGGTAAGCATTTTTGTAATAAAATTATTGACACTTTGTTGCTTAAATATGGATGCAGGCATAAAAAGTCACTCCCCTATCATCCTCAAGCCAATGGTCAAGCGGAGTTGGCTAACCGGAAAATTAAAATCATTTTGGAGAAAACGGTCAACCGATTGAGAAAGAATTGGTCAAACAAACTTGAAGATACTTTATGGGCATATAGAATAGCATTTAAAACGCCGTTGGGAATGTCTCCATATAAGTTTGTTTATGGGAAAGCATGTCATTTACCTGTAAAAATAGAACATAAAGTTTATTGAGCCATTAAAGCTATTAATTTTGATTTTAAATCTGTAGGTGAAAAGAGAATGCTCGAGCTAAGCGAGTTGGAGGAATCGCGGTTAACCTCGTATGAGAATGCCAATATTTACAAAGAAAAAGTGAAATTTTGGCATAATAAACACATTCTTTCTAAACATTTTGAAGAAGGGCAAAAGATGTTATTATTTAACTCAAAGCTTAAATTTTTCCTGGAAAACTTAAGTCTCGATGGTCCGGGTCATTTGAAGTGGTTCGCATGTTTCCTTATGGAGCAGTGGAAATAAATGGAGAAAATGGTGCCTCATTTAAAGTGAATGGTCAAATATTGAAACTCTATTTAGCCGGAGAAAAGGTCCCTAAAGGAGTAATTTACTCCTTAGGAAACGCAATAGAGAGGTAAAAAAACTGTAGGAGAGTCGAGCCAACGACTATAAACAAAAGCGCTTATTGGGAGGTAACCCAATAATAATATTGTAGTTGTGTGTTTTTATGTGTTTCTTATATTTTGGTGTGATTTCATTGACTAATTAGACATATTTCACTTGTTTATAGGAGGTAACGGAGTTTCATCATCCATCTTGGAAGTACAATTGAAGAACAAGTGTAAAAAGAGAGATTTTCTTACCAAATTGTGCTTTAAGTGTTTAGAATTACCATTCATATATACAGTGTGTATTTCAAGCATATTCAAGTGAGTTTTGGTGATAACATGTTTATAAATGCTCATAGACTCATTTGATATGCATTTAATGCTCAAAAGTGCCATTTTGGTGTAAAAGTGCAAAAATGATCAAAGAACCTCACCACTCAATTTGCAATGTAGATGTGTTTGATGTGTTTTGAAAAGTTGGATGTTGTATTTATGGTCTATTACATGTGCGTGGGAGATTAGAATTGATAAAAAAATTTGTCCAAAGTGTGTTTTGGAATTGGCCGAAAAATGGAGAAAAAGTTTAAAAAATTACAGTTTCTGCAATTAGTGTAGAAAAAGACAGATCCGACCTCGGATCCTTTGAAACTCAAAAATCGAAAATAGGGGATCCGAGCTCGGATCCAACAAAATTCAGTTGGATTTGAGGGCTCGGCCGAACTTCTGGAGTGACGAATCCGAGCCCTGTCGGATCCGAGGGCTTCTAGAACCGATCCGAGCTCGGATCGGTTAGCGATATGAATGGAACCGAGGGCTCGGTTCCTCATTTTCCAGCTTTCTTCTCCTTCTCTCTTACCGAAACCCTACTCCTCTTTCACCAATCTTCCATTTTATCCAGTAATCATCCAATTTTTTACCAGAAAAACATCTCCCAACCTCTTTTGAGCATAAACCCTCAGTTTTCTAAAATGAAAAACATCAATTTGGAGGGTTTCAATTCTCAAAACTAGAATTCGGTCTTCACTGAATTGTTTCTATTTGTGATCGAATTTGGGGTTATTTCTTCATCATTTTTTGCATCATTATCATCCTCCATCATCATTCCACACATTTGAGATAACAATTTTCAACTTTCTTTGAAATTTTACATTTCTCAATTCTTAATTTTTTGTATTTTTTTATAAATTTGGGAAATGCATATATGATGGATTTTAATGCTATAATTTTGTTACATTGTGCCAGTATATGTCATTATAAATGCTTGTTTGCTTAGAATTGAGAAATTTGTTAATATGGTGATAAATTTTGTATAATTTTTCTCATGAAAGCACATTATACTTTTGTTTGCAATTTCTTGTTTCTTTGTATAAATGGCATTTGTTTGTTTGAAATGAAGTTCATTTTTATGCAAATTGATGATAAATTGTAGTAAGTATAGTGGATTGTTATGTATTACTTTGAGGGAAATAGACAAAAGTTGAGAATTGTTTGAATTGAGGATGTTTTTCGTAATGCATAAGGAGATGTTGTGTTCAATGGATGATTCAGGCTTAACTTAATAGCACATTGTCTTTGATAGTCCATTTTACTTCGAGATAATATTCTATTCTTGCAAATGGTTTTAAATCTCACACATTTGGATTTATCATGAGGGGGTTGATTTCCTTATTGAAAGTATATCTTCTAAATGTTTAAAAGTGGATTTGAGAATGTGTTAAGCAGAGTATCTGCTTCAATTTGTTGATTGTTGGTAGGCAGTTTCATCCTTTTACAAAGGGCAACTCTGCCGAAATTTTCTCAAAGTACTTTCCAACATTTTTGAAATGTATTTTTAAGGAATTTAGATTGCTTTTAATGTGCATTGATGATACGAACCCGGATCCGAGGATGCCAGAATTAGAACCACAAGCCCAAGACCAAGGTAATGAGTTTGTGGTAAGCGGAGTCCTAGACTATCAAGGGCAGCGCGAGATAGTTTCGAACGATAGAAGACACCACAATCAAGCGTGTTCCTTGATTGATAAAGTCGACGAACACTTTAGATCCTCTAAAGGTGCTCAAGGGTGCTTACAAGAAGCTAGAGAAACTCTCTTAATTTCTGAAATTGTCCCCAAAAAAAAAGTCCCTTCTCTATGGAATTGAGCAGCCTTTTATAGGCTTACAAAACAACTTAACTTAAAACTACGCGAAAGAGGTAAGTTTCCTAATTGAATTGAAAGACTTAACCAAAACATAACTAATTCCTTAACATACTAGATATGCCTTAGTAGGCTTACAAGACCCAATTGGAAGCAATAAAAATAGGAAATAATTGGAAATAACGGAAACTGCTAAAACAACTAAATCAGTCTGACGCGTTGCACACGAAATCCTTGAACTTTGAATGCTTGGCTTTGGCTCTCTTCATTGGACCCCAACGACCCATCAATGAACCACGTAATAGCTTTTGGGCAGCTCCTAAGATTCGTATCATTCCCCTCCTCTTAAAAAGATTTGTCCTCAAATCGTGGGAACACAAGAATTGGCGGCGCGGGCTAACAGCACTTCGGTTATTAGTTCCAATGGAAGGAGGCATAGAATATTGCAGGACCAAGACTTTTGCCCCTTGCTCAACCTACACAAAAGACTGGACACTAAACAAAACAAATGTTAGAGGTGAGGGACGCGAAGCATCGCCCTCAGGTGTAAAGCGCATCAAGAGATTTTGCTTTCTCTCATGGCTAGCAACTCGATTTTCCTTTTTCCTTGCATCTTCATGCTCACTCTCTGCCCTCAACTTCTCTAGATTTTCACAAACTTGGTTGGGGGATAAAGGGGCTAAAGTAATCTTCCTATCATCATGGGTAAAAGAATATTTATTAGTTCGACCTTCAAAGGATACATCCTTATCGTATTGCCATGGTCGTCCCAAAATAATGTGAGTGGCTTGCATGGGAACGACGTCACAGATCACCTCATCCTCATACTTCCTTAAGCAAATAGGCACAGACACTTGTCTATACACTCGCACATCCCCATCAGCTGTCAACCATTGCAGTCGATAAGGTTGTGGATATTTCTTGGTTGGGAGAGCCAAATTTTCTACCATGAGTAAACTTGCAACATTGGTGCAACTTCCCCCATCCATAATTAAGCTGCAAATCCTATCCTTAACTTTGCAACGGGTGTAAAAGATGTTTTCCCGTTGAGACCCCTCGTCCTCCTTAGCAAGCATGGTTAACGCCCTGCGAGCGACCAAACATCCTACATTCCCAGGTAGCAGTGCAATCTCTTCCTCCGAGTCCCCATCACCCGTCAAAAGCGGCATCCCTGCATAATCAGACTCGTCATCTGTGGCCACTTCACCATTGTCCCTTATAACCATAATGCGTTGATTAGGGCATTGGGATTGTATATGACCAT